AAATCGTTTTAATGCTTTTGAGATATAACTGAACTAGCTTAAAATTCACACATTATTATGCAGATGAGCTCATTAATATGCATGGATGTCAACCAAAAACTAATCAAATCTGAGCATTGCCCCAGACAAGCTATATACCAAGTTTTATTGAAATCCGAACATTGGTTCTTGAGATATCGATGGAACAGACACACACACACACAGACAGATAGACAGACACACAGACAGACACACTAACTGCAAAGACTCCCTTTTTGTGCTTCGCACACGGGAGTCAAAAACTATTATACTAACATGTGGATTAATAATATCAAGAGACCAGATGCCAAACTCAGATCTTATAGTCTACTTAAAAGTGATATTAGTCCAGCTAAATACCTACAACTGTTAAATAATAGACAAGATATTAAATTATTGTCTCAATTGAGACTTAGTTGTCACAAACTCAAAATAGAAGTAGGCAGACATAAGAGACCTAAAATCCCATTAGAGAACAGTAGCTATTACACTGATGAAAGTGATATTATGTACACTGAATTTACCAAGGAAATCCCCACTTTCCAGTCTGAAAACAATATCAACAAGTTTATTATACTTATTAATACTAACCATCCTAAACTAATTAGACATGTGACACGGTATCTGAATGTGTGTTTTGAAAAACACAAACTACTACCTAATCTTATGTTCAGTTTTTTACTTACCTTTTTACCTTACCTTACCTTTTATTACTTTATCAGCCAAAAATGAATTTGTAATTTCATTACGGTGTAATAAAACTATATTATTATTATTATTGTATGTATAATATTATGCATGATGTATGTGTGAAGTTTAAATGTAATTGGTCCAGGCATGTCTAAGATACAGGTCTGGATGCACATACACGCACAGACGCACAAAGGTCAAAACATAAGTCCTCGTTTTTGGCCTGCGACCGAACGGGGACTAAAAAATCATTGGTTTTGGAACAGTAGCTGATAATAACCAACTTACCAAAATACATGGGGATTGGTCCAAGCAAAAAGAATATAGTATAGTCAAAAAAGGTTTCACCATGTTGGAAGAAGACACTGCCCTGTAATCCTTTGTCAAAGTTGGTGAATTCATTATCAAAGATGTCAGATAACTTGGTATTAATGGCCTCAATAAGCTGAAATAAATAAATTTAAACTAATACTCAGCACACAGCAAAAGACAACTGTGACAGTCAATTGGTAAAAAAACTATTATCAGAACTAAGCATGTGCCCATTTTGTTGTTATAGATTACACATTATACAGTTCAAATCACAGTTCAAACATTGCCCATGGTTATAACTATAGTACTTTCTCGTAACGAAAGACTTTAATTATGACCAAGTATGGCACATAATTTTGACAATTGTTTAAATTTACTAGCTTAACTTTTACCAGATCGATAAAAAGAATACCCACTATCAATAAACACTGTTGTCCCTCTGGATACACACAGTTCTGACAGTGACACTACCAATATTTATGTCCTCATAGTAAATGCCATATAATTATAACATTTACCATACCATATAACATTATTTGACAGTAAATGTGAATAATATGCACAATAATCACGTGATAAAACTAAATCAACTTACCAATCTTTCATATAATTGTCGTAAATCATTAATTAATTTTGTCACATCCTTTTCATCAATTAGATAATTGTCCAATATATTTTCCAGTTCACCCAAAGTGAGTCCAGACAGGTCTGTGCCTAATTACAAAATTAATGAAAAAAACATTAAAAATTAGCAGCAGCATTTTTGATATTCCAGACAAAATATTGTTGCCACATTTTATGTTTCTGTCTTCTTTGTTAATTTAAGACTTTATGCACGCAATTAATCAAGAACTACAGATCTTAACAAGTTTTGTAATTACCGGTATAAACAGAACATACTGAAACTTTAGACTGGCTACTTAAAGCGGGAGGTAGTCACCTGTGCATGCGCAGGAATTGAGTCCAAACTCACGCTAAAAACGCAAAGGCTTATGGGTAGACGCTTGTTTGTAAACGATGACACGCTATAGCAATCTGATGCATGTGCAGGTGGCGACTTCCCCGCTTTAACGTCTTTCAAATTCAAAGAGATTTAACTATAAATCAATGTAAACCTCAGATTACATTTATAGTGATTTTAATGCTGGTTGGACAAGCATGCAAATGATACCTCCAGGTTTACGTGAAAAAAAAGTAAAGCAGGAATTCTCAGGTTGTTTTCAAAAAGCGAGCACAAATCCACGCAGAAAATAAACAAATGAAGCAGACAGAAGGTTGAGTGACATGAGTACTGGATATTGATTTTAAAAAAAATTATGAAAACATAGTGCAAGTTTATTTTGATAAAACCTGTTATAAGGCAATTATTACAGTTTTAATAGAATCCCACATGTATGGAAGTATGGCATTATTTGGTCTCACGTGAACTATAACAAAATATAGCACTATTAAAACAGAAATAAATCAGACTACAAAGTTAACAAATGAGAAATTATGTACAAGACATATACAAAGTATTAAGATCCCAACAAAAGAAATTGACAACGTGAATAACAAAATTACCATTAATAATACAAGTGTAGCACAAATGAGCAAACACAGTGATGCTGTAATCAAAAGATTAATGACATCTGTGAGTCCATGAACAATTGTGTTGGCAAGTAAATTAGGATTCTGATATTTAATGTACTGAATCAAAATCTTATATTAAACAGAATCAACTTCTTACTTGTACTTTCTTGTCGCTGTTTCAGAGAATCGACGAATTCTTGCATTCCTTCATCACAAAATGGTATAGCAATCACAGCATTGTCCAGAATCTTGACAAACGGGAGACAGGAGTCAATCTCTGTGGAACACAAACCAGTCTCCAAATTGACCTGAATACGAGGAATGGAGATAGTGATTTGAACATGTGCAGATACGATTCACCGGTAGAACAAATGCAAGTTACACTACATAACCGTAATTTTATTGCTTTCCTTACTATTAAAATTATAATAATTTTGTTTATCATACCATGTCAACAATGATATTTAACATTAAAATTATCAACAAAACCCAATCAATGCCATATGATACAAATACAAATGTGTATACTCACTATTATATTTTCATTATCTTTTTCAATCTTGTACTTAATTGTTATCTTCACAGCGTCTAGTACGTCAATATCCTCTACAACTGGATTCTCTTCTTCCTCCGCTGTCAACATATAATTCATATTTGATAAACAGTGACCTCACTTTTAAAAAATTATATATCAATACAAACTTTCTAAATTTCATTCAACTCCATTAAATTAGGGGTGAAGGGACCAAAACATTTCTTCAACATATAATTAATATTAATATTATAGTATATACACATCTATACATTTTGTTGTACTTACTTGCTCTACAAACTAAATAGAAATATTTTGATAAAACTGAAATTCCATTAAATGTCTATAGCTCTACATATCAACAGAAATTTTATAGAAATTTTTAAATAGATATCTAAATATAGAAATTTCTGTAAAATTATATTCTCAATAAATTTCTGTTCAAACCCACATAATTGGTAATTTTCCGTTCAACTGCGAGATCTCGCTAGTTGCATGAAAGACGCGCGTTGAACGTCTGCCGCAAAAATCGAACGATTTGATTTTGAACTTGAATTTCTTTATTTCGTAGCTCATATCGACCGGGTGATCTTTGACAGAGGATTATTGCTTTCGAATACCCTTACTTAATCAGAATTGTCTATCATCAAACGTGTAAAGCACATTATTCAGTATGGAAATGTCTGCCAATATTGCCTATCATCAAATGTGTAAAGCACATTATTAAGTATAGAAATGTCCCCCAATACTTTCGCGTTTGTCAAATCCCACATGATGTTTGACGCCACTACGACACTTTGTTTGTCCTGTTTTTACGTTTGATTTCACGCATAATGCATGATTCTCGCAGTGTACGGAAAATGGTCTATTACTTTCAATAAAATTTCTACAAACCATTTTCTCAAAGGTTATTACTCAGTTGGAATAACACTTTAATAGTCGACTTTGGCTTCAGTCGTCAATATCAATAGTTACCTTCTTCAGTGTCTGTTACCCAACATTTGAGAACAGTAATTTTTTATACCAAAGTCAACTCACCAAAATCAAAGTCCACAAGATCAAAAGACTTTGTCCAACTATCTACTCCAATAGTGAGTTCAAAATTGCATGGGTCATATTGAACAAAAGCTTTGAATGATCTGTGTAAATGGCCAAGACTCAAATCCATACAGCAGCTGACACCAAGACAATTCTCATCAAATGTACAGTAGATATTCTTGGTAAGTGCATTTCTGATTCCAAAACATTCTGTAAGAGAGAAGTAGAAGATTAGCCAAATATTAGTGAAAACCGTATAAAACAGGACATAAATAACGTCTTTCACATCTAAAAACATAATTCTTTGAAGTCACTGTGATGACATACATTGTAGTCCCTGTCTTTGACATCTAAAAACATAATTCTTTGAAGTCACTGATGACATAGTCCCTGTCTTTGATACCTTCAATCATATACTTTGAAGTCACTGAGATGACATAGTCCCTGTCTTTAATACCTTCAATCATATACTTTGAAGTCACTGAGATGACATAGTCCCTGTCTTTGACATGTTAAATCATATACTTTGAAGTCACTGAGATGACATAGTCCCTGTCTTTAATACCTTCAATCATATACTTTGAAGTCACTGAGATGACATAGTCCCTGTCTTTAATACCTTCAATCATATACTTTGAAGTCACTGAGATGACATAGTCCCTGTCTTCGACGTGTTAAATCATATACTTTGAAGTCACTGCGATGAAATAGTCCCTGTCTTTGATACCTTAAATCATATACTTTGAAGTCACTGAGATGACATAGTCCCTGTCTTTGATACCTTAAATCATATAATTCAAAGTCACTGAGATGACATAGTCCCTGTCTTTGATACCTTAAATCATATAATTCAAAGTCACTGCGATGACATAGTCCCTGTCTTTGATACCTTAAAGCGTATACTTTGAAGTCAGTGAGATGACATAGTCCCTGTCTTTGATACTTTCAATCATATACCAAACCATCTACTAATGTGATACTGACATCTCTCATTACCCGGTATATCTTGTCTTTACATCAACTTCAAACAAAATCTTGCACCAAGTCCAAGAAATTACCCCAACATCAGACAGAAATACATAAGTTTTAGAACTTCTTCCAACCAGTGATAATAAATAATTGTTTGAAACAATATGCAATTGCAGACTGCCAATTTACACAACCATTGTAACAGAAAGCAGACTGAATAATGAATAATGCAATTTTGGATTAAATTTTCTTCTGTTATATTACAATAAACAACTCAGTGTTTGTGTCCAACTTACTCTCTTCAGACTCTAAATATCTTCCAATAAGTTCATCTCTAGATCCTGTGGTAGACAGTCCTCTCAGTTCTAGCTGATTTCGTAGTTCCTTGATATCCATAGTTTCTGGTCGTCTGCATTCCTCTGTATTTACTGCTTTCTGAGATTTTAAGCAAAAACATAACATAATATAGAATGTTGGCAGCAGACAGATCACAGAGCAATGATGTATTTAATGTCAAAGTCCATTACTAGTAGCGATCAAGGGTATATGGGTGTGCTTTTGGCTGAATAGTGCAGTGATATGACCAGACATGGCTGGCAAATGTACTGTAATGGGCTAAGTATATTTGGTTGAATCACTAAAAAATGTAGTGTGCAATCAAAATCCAGTAAAATAGAAAAACAGTTGTTGCAGTAACTGCAAGAATGGAAGATCTGTATGGAAACATAACAACCAGTGGGCCATATTATTTTCAATCAAAAACACCTTATGTGCACCTATAACCCAGTCATCATGGTTATCTTTGAAAAACCGCTATAAATATAGACAAAGAAGTAAAATAGGAGAAGAAAGAAGGCACTTATGAGAAAGAAGTTAGTGGAATTCTTACTTTGACTTTATCCAGTAAGGTTTCAAGCTGATCTTTGAGGTCAGTGAGTCCAGAGTTATCCAGAAAATCAAAAACATCACCAAGTTTCATACTATTCATGTTAAAATTGAAGATTGGACCAAATTCATCAATTCCAGGAAATTCAAGGTCGTCAACAAAATCTAGCAAAAAAACACATAAAGACTAAATGTAATATCAGCATAACCACAGTGCCTGCTGTGAGTAATTTTTACAGTGATAGAAAAAAATATTCATTCCTGAAGATATTTTTGAAGATAAAGGCATCATAGGAAGAAAGTAAGATGGTGAAGATTTGGCAGAGATTCAATATTCATACCATGTGATCTTCACTATACATTGATTTATAACTACCAATACAACAGTGAGATGATTTGTGTGGTTAAGACAGTAAAACTTGTGGAACTTCAAACTTTTTAATTCCTACCTTTTGCTACATCAACGACATCACCAATAATACCACGTTTTCTTCGTTTATTAGAAGCAATGCCATCTATATCAGAAGTATCGGGTTCAGTAGTTCTGGCTGGTGATGTATCAGTCTCCTTTGGTCCTTCAGTAATAGATCCTTCAGCAATTGTCAGACCCTACAGAAAAAATGCAAATACACAAGAAACAGTTGCTATAGTTTCCTCTAATCAAAACAAAGTAGAATAAAGTAAGACAAATTTACAGGGGTCTGGTTATCAAGCATGTCATAATCCTCATCAACTTAAAATATACATGTACTGTAAAATAATTTATTTTAGCTGGAATTAATTTTCGCTGAAAAGACTTTATTTTCACAGATTTTTGACGAGTTGAATGAAAATTATGGGGGGAAAGGGTTCATTCGCTGGATTTTATTTTCACTGAATCATTCTTTCAGCATTAAAGTATTTTACAGCGATCAGTATATCAGTGCTTTATATGAGAAAATTTGCATAATTGGTGTAAATGTTTGTAATTATTTTTGAACATTTAACAATAAAATTTCTTTCACAAATATTGAAATAAAGTAAGTAGGCATACAAATCAGCTTACATTAAATATTAAAATATAGTCATCACATTCCGTGGTCCATCCTGGTGACGGCATTTCACGTTTCATGAGATACCTAGTGGGGTCAATGTATTCATGTAATTCTTGAACTCGAAGAGCAATATGAATTACATTTGGAAAGCATCCTGATGATGTCACTGTCCCAATAGGATCATCTTTTGTAACCTATGAACAATAGTTAAGAATAAATACAGTGTTAGCATAACTAAACTACATTGTACACTGAGAATTACCTGACTCTGTGAAGATATAAATGTTACGTGCATAAGTGTCCTCTAATAATAAAAACAAACATGGCTGCCACCAGAGTTTGACCGGACTCCACAGAAGTTCGCTGATTCTGTTCTAAACATACTAAACATACTAAACATATTCTCGTAATAACCTTATAATATATTCTGAATTCCATAAACTTTCATGAACAGTACAGCAAGACTTCTAAAAAAAATGTTGGCAGGAACAAACAGGCCAGCATTTTGGCAACAAAATTATACTACTTGAAAAAAAAAACATATTTGCATGGTTACTATACTATCTAATAATTGGGAGAGTACACAATGAATACTACTGACATCTTGTTATTATCAGTATCTGCACTCATTGATGCTATAACAAATCATGGTGATGAGTAGTTAGTGTGTCATTTTTAGTGTTCGAACTAATTTCAGAAATTTATTTTATTTTCAGAAAAAGTCTTCTATTATATTGTTATTATTATATGCTTATTGGACACTAATTTCATAAGAAACACGCCATGCATGGCACAGTCCCCATTAGTTATCGAATTTGAGATATATAGTTTTGTTTATAGTAATTAATATAGCTGAAATATAACCATGTCAGGAATATAATTATGATGATTGTTCAACATTAAAATGATTGACATTAGTATCTGATCGTCAAACGACTACTTGTCCACATTAAGAGATATTGCTTGAAACAGGATTAATTAAAACAAAATCAGCCATTTTGAATACATGTATATATCTATAACATGATGTCTAATGAATATATAAAATAATATAAACAAGCCATGCATGGCACAGTCCCCGTTAGTTATCAAATTTAAGATATATAGTTTTGTTTATAGTAATATAGCTGGAATATAACCATGTCAGGAATATGATTTTTTAACATTAAAATGATTGACAATTCTATCTGATCGTCAAAAAAGTACTTGTCCATATTGAGAGATATTGCTCTGGAACAGCATTCAAAATCAGCCATTTTGAATACATATATATATAACGAATATATAAAATTTGAATATAATCAAAGCATGCAAGAGATATGGCTCTAGAAGCCCAATCATTAAAACAAAATGGCCACCAGACAGCCATTTTGAATCCGATCTGAAAAATAAATGATGTGCATCAGGAACCTGTAATGTCTAAAATATATGTACCAAGTTTGAACGAAATCCATCCATAAATGCTTGATATTTGATGATTTTTTAGCACAAAAATGGCCACCATTTGGCCATTTTGAATAGGATCGTCAAACCAATATACATTTGTGTATCTGTCTATTTATGACATGATGTATATTGAAAATTTAAAATTTGAACATAAGCAGTGAAAGCAAGTCAGAGATATGGCACGAGAACCACATTCATTAAAACAAAATGGCTGCCAGTCGGCCATTTTGAATCTTATCTGAAAAACAAAATGATGTGCATCAAGGTCCTATAATGTCCAACGTATATACCAAGTTTGAACATAATCCATTTGTAAACAGCAGAGAAATGCTTGCCATTTGGCCATCTTAAATCAGATCATGAAACAAATTGATGTGCATATGTATAATATCATGTATGATGTATGTGTGAAGTTTAATCGTGATTGGTCCTGGCATTTCTAAGATGCAGGTTCGGATGCACGCACGGACACATGAACGCACAGACACACGGACGCACGGAGGTCAAAACATAAGTCCCCATTTTCGAACTGCATCCAAACGGGGACTAAAAAAATGTGTTTCAACGAGTTGGAGGATTTTTTTTATTTTTATTTTGGAAATGCCAAAAATTGATAATTATTATGCAAATAAGATGATGCATCATAAAATGGAAGTTATTTGTGTAGAAAGTACAGACGACATTGACATGGCTACTATATTTATGATACAGCATGCTTTATTTTAAAACCAGCATAGAGGCTGACAAAAATGTGGGGAACAAGAATTGTGTGAAGAATCATCAAACTTTCACTTTCCAATTGCCCTCAAATTTCTTAGAATTAGTATGAATCTGAATTGAAATACTTACATGTGTGCCATCAACATTAGAATGGAGTTCCACATAATAAATGATAATCTCAGTGTCTTTCAGTTCTCCCCCATCAATCACCATGGTTACTTGATTACCTCCGGAAGAAGTAATCACACCATTGAAAGGTGCAGTGAGCTGAAATACAAGAAAATATTTCACAAATGCCATTTACCCGATTGTCAGCCATTTTGAATCATAGCATAAATATCTCTATGATATATTCCTTGGGTTACATTTTAGCAGATTTGTGGTACATGTAGCAGAGATAATTTTTAAATATTTTTAAATTCAATGTTTTGTGGGAAAAAAAAATACATTGTTTTGTTAAATTGAATATACACTTTGTTTCAATTCAACTGTCAGCGAAATAAGTGAATAATTAAGCCCTAAAAAATAACTAATACAAATTCAGATAGAATACAAACTAACAAAATCCTTTCGACATTTTCCTTGTAGTACCAAAGTTAAATTAAATGTTCTGAAACGAAACGTCAGAAATGTGGCTCTCATGGAACAAGTATAAAAATAATATGTGATCATGATCTTAATCTTGATGATTTTTTACACTAAAATGGCTGCGAAATGACCATCTAGAAACAGATATATATATATACAATGTATTATATATATGTAGTATGATGTATGTTTGAAATTTGAACATGATTCTTCCATGAATATGATTCCAGATCACCATTCATTAAAACAAAATTGATGCCAGTTGGCCATTTTGAGTGCTGATCTGCCAAACAAAGTGACATGTCAAATGAATAAAAAAAAAATCTGGTTTCCAAATGACAGAAATGCATTTCTAGAATCACATCAGAAAATATGTGCATATGCATTCCAAGATGTGATGAATATATAAAGTTTGAACATGATCAGTGTAATGAGAGAGATACAGGTGAGGATTCATAGACAGATGCAAGATGAAATTATAATTGTTCACACTTTATTTGAATGGGGACTAGAAAAAGAATCCATTTCTCTCTTACCTCTTCTCCTTCTTGTGCTTCTAAATCAATTCCTGGCAATGTGTTCTGGTTAGTATTAGAGTATGCTCCTTCACCACATGAACTATAGGCAATAGTTCTAGGGAACTTTTTACCCATCTTAGGACCGAAGATCTCATTAATCAGGGTCTTTGCTTCATCATACCTATCGATAATAGAATGAAAATATAATGTATTTTGAAGTGCATATTCTTTAATAAATTACATTTAATTAATTAATTGAAAATTTTCTAAAGTTGTAAAAAACTGTACAGCATTTGATTCAATTAGAAGGGCTTACAAATGTATAACCCAACCCAAAATTACTTATTTTGACCATGGAAACATCTTATGTAAGAAGATAAACTATGTCACTAACATTGAACACAATCAAGATTATATTGACATCACATGTGGATACTTTCCTTTGTTTACGTCTGACACAGGACACAATCTTGTTACTAGCACAAACATGCACAACGCAAAGCATTTTTTGTTGCCACTTTGGTTATCCCTCATTTAAAGAGCGGTGATTGTTACCCCATACATGCACGAGATACAGGACTCATATTTTGGGCTATAGGGCAGACCAATGAGTACACACTGAGATATAATTAAGATTTATGTAATTTCTATGGTGATTGGAAAGTATCTAAGGAGTCACCAGCGGCAATTAGTGAATGTTGCACCCAAATCAAAACTAGTACTTTTGATTATTTTTAGAAGAGTGCATGAGAATACAGCAAAGTATGCACTAAGGCGATGAGGGATCACATTAACCAACATGTATATAATTGCCATACTGTCAATTACGATACATTTGATTAATTGATAATATTATATAAAAGCATTGCTTCGTCACATCGTGTCATTTTGAATATGGGTCCCATGCTACGCACACGTTGAATGAAACATACATTGTATGTTTACACAACATTCAAAAGTGCAATGCATGATGATGATGGCATTTTAATTGGCATGTAATTTAGTATACTCACGCTCGTTTAATTCCTTCATAGCCTTCCTTGATATCTTCTATTGTCCCAGTGAATGACTCGTACGCCAAAACAAATGGTTCAGATATTTTCTGTACAATTGTGAGAGGAGCTAGGAGATCATCAAAGTCACCAATAATTTCATCTATTATCTGTTGCCTTACAGTGGACTGTGAAAACAAAATAATCTTGAGTACGGGCTTGCTAAGAAGCAAAAAATTCATTGCATGTGGCACTCTTACAACATGTATGGAATAACATAGTTGAACTCTGGTGACCTTGCCCTTTGTTATATAATTCCCTTTATCACAGTTTGTTTCAATATAAATATGCATTGTCATAATTAATTTTGAATACAAACAAGTTTTGGGGTTGAACCAACAGTGGGGAATCAGTCTACCGAATGTCCTTAAAAGATGTAAATATCTTACAAAAACATTGGTGCCTTATTTGTTTAATTATTTTAAGGGACATAATTTCCAGTTTTATTCAAAGTAATTCAGATATTTTAGTATAAAAATAAATACCTCATCGCAAAAATAAAGTTCTGCATTTAGACGTGAATAGATTCATAAAACATGCAAGATAAGACAAAATCTTAGCTGGCTTTTGTCCAAATATTTTGTACAGGTGTCTGTCAAAAATTAATTAATGATTCACTGAGACAAATACAAACTGCCTCATTGTGTGACTACTGTATTATATGAAAAGTAAAAAAAAAAACTTATGAATAGCTATCATGTTGCAAGCTCTGCTTTGTATGCAAATCAACTTAAATAGTTAGTTGGTGTCCAGTGGAGGGAGAAGTCAACAGTACTGTTGCCTCCTGAGAATCTACATCTTCAAACACTGCAATCTTTGAAGTGCGTTTTTAAACTAGTATTATAAAAACTCTATCATTCTGTTCTAATAGCTGAAACATATTCCTGTGAGTTTTTATTTGTCGAATGAACTGTTTGTCAAATACAGAATACATATATTTTAGAACAATTTTCTTTTTAAAATGTGGATGAAATGTTTTGCTTTTTATGTATTTTTTATGTATTGTTTTTGATTTGATAACTTTGAACTAAACAGATTTTCTATTAGCTTCAGATCTTGATCAAAGTTTGGCACCCAGTTCATAGGAGTGCTTATATTGATTTTCTGACATCTTGTTTTCTGTAAAGATTTATTGGTAGGTTTGCAAATGTGTATCAGACTGTGCAATCTCTCCATGAGTTGGTTTTGAAACCCAGTAAGGATACATTACCAAGGATATTATTACAAGATAAATCATTTGCTTCATTGAACACATACAACATTGCATATTTCCACTGAGATCAGTGACCTTTGATGTGTATCACCAGTGATCAGTCAAGTAGAAACAGTCAAAATATTTTATCAGTTTTTCTCAATTTTTGCATGATATTTTCATACAGGACATCTGTTGTTCAAACTCAGGGAAGACTTTATACTGATGAACAAGGTGACCAAGTTTGATGAAGTTTGGAATAGAATTAGTAAAGTTATCATGCACACAATAACAATTATTAACGACGACGACAACGACGAAGACGACGACAACGCCGGACAAAATTTTTCCCTTAATATACCTTTCCCTTCCATCTTTGATGGTACGGGCAAGGTAATAAAATCAAAATACTAAATTGCATGTTGAATTAATTTTAAAACATTCGTATTGAATACACCATTAAGGTAGCGGGACTATTATTTGCATACTTTTTTTCATCTTCTAATTGGGACCAAACGACTACAAATAGACCCAGGAAAGTATATATTTTTGGAATCGCCTGATTTCAAGCTTTTCAAAGGTGTGTTTGTCATGCCCGTATCTGCATTCTACGGTGCATTACTTAATCAAAAGTGAAAAATTACTTTTTTTGTAAAAAAAATAATTATGCATTTATGCTGGTGATAATAAGTTTTGTTTTCACTTTTCCTAGTTGTTCAATAGTCTGGTAAATTGAATGTG